TTTTTTTTTTTTTTTTTTTTTTTTTTTTGGTCATTGATGTTTTTATTTCTTTTGCCCTCTGGCAATTTGGACAACCCACATAGATTTGGCACCCTTGTGATCTACCATATCTAAAGGGAGCACTTGCTTTTTAGTATGGTTACTTCTCTGGATTATTTCCTTGGTTTAATTAAGTACCTGGAAAATTCTCAATTTTTTTTTCAACTCTGTTACTCAATTTAAGGCTTTTTGTAACTCTCTGAAGATTTTATCTTCCTGCATTAAAAGACTTTAGAATATATAGTATTATCCCCCCTCCCCGCAAAAAGCCCACATATCAGCAGTGTACACATGAATAAAACATTTCACATGTATTTTCTCTGGCAAACAACATCTCATGAGAAAATCCAAGTTCTTCATTTAGAACACAACTTCTCCCTCAATACATCGTAAGGTAATCATAATTTGAAGGGTGTGAATATTTTTAATTCTAGAAAACTAATTTTATTTTTTTCACATATTTCTGAATTTATAATGCTCCACTGCAGAGAGTAGTAGCTATATGTGGCCAGAATTACTGTTTTCTATAGCATCAATCAAATATTTGTAGAATTATTTACCTAAATTTAAAATTTTGACCTTAATCACTATGCTTTTTCATTAGCATTATTCTCAATCCACAAACATAATCCCACTTTGGATTTTTCATTTAATCCAGAGCTTAATTAAAAATCTCTGTATAAAGTTTGCACGTGGCTAGATAGTACTGCTTGGTTTAATGTTTTTTAGTTGATGATTTCTATTGTCATATATATAGTGACCAGAAAATAGAACCTGGCACATTTCTGCTATCATGAATTCATGGAACTTTCATTTAAAATACTCATGTTTGTCAAGGGTTTGGATACCCATACTGGCCAGCCACCAAAAAATTAATAAATATATAAAATAAAATAAATAAAATATTTGTGTTATTATGTTAAAATAAAGTGCTTATTGGTCATTAATAAAACTTCCTAATAATGTTATTTAACATTATGTCAATTTACTTGTTGTATAACAAAATAGCTGAATTTTATGGTAATTAAAATGTCACAATATGATTGAAAATGTACCAACTTTTTTCTAATGAATCTTTCAGCTATGCACTTTAAACTTTAACTATTAAATTTATAAATGTTTAATAAAAATAAATAAATAAATATTTAATAGCTGAAAATAGTGTCAAATACATTGTATATGCAAAGTACTAACCATTCTGATTCATCAAATTATTTTCAAATATATGTTTTTGTTTGTTCTTAATAAAAAAATATTTTTCTGTTTTATCTAAATATTGATAAAAACAAAAGGTGAACTTAGTTTTGGGAGCTTGTGTGTCTTCAACTGTGCATAATGAACCTGTCAGAATGGAAAAAAAAAAGCTACAGATGTGTTCCTGAGACCTTCTTTCCTGGTCTTGGTTGCAGTTTCTGCATTGTCCTTATTACCCCAGTAGTGACGATCACAGGGAGGAGGGCAGGTTCGTCTCATCAGGATCTAGTGGAAGAGTCTACTGCCTGGTGACCTCGGTGCCTCCAGAAGCAGGATAAAGCTTGGAAGCACTGATGTCTTTGTCAAATTTTTACATTCATAGGATTACTCTCCAGTATGAGATCTTTTGAGATCTTTTGTGTCTTTGAAGGAAACTGAGAAAACTGAATGTTTTCCCACATTCCTTACATTCATAGGGTTTCTCCCTAGTATGAGACCTTCCATGTCTTTGAAGGGAAATGGAAGTGCTGCAGGCTTTACCACATATTTTACATTTATAGGGCTTTAATGTAGTATGAGTTTTTTCATGTCTTTGAAGGCAGCTGGGAAAATAGAATGCTTTCCCACATTCCTTACATTTATAGGGTTTCTCTTCAGTATGAGTTCTTTCGTGTTTCCTAAGGGAACTACAGCATGTAAAGGCTTTACCACATCTCTTACATTCACAGGGTTTTTCTCCAGTATGAGTTCTTTTATGTATTTGAAGGTCAGTGGAACATATGAAGACTTTACTGCATTCTTTACATTTGTAGAGTTTCTCTCCAGTATGAAATCTTTCATGTTTTTGAAGGGAAGTGGAACTTCTAAAGGCTTTACCACATGCCTTACATGCATAGGGTTTCTCACCAGTATGAATTCTTTCATGTACTTGAAGGTAACTGGGAAAGTTGAATGATTTACCACATTCCTTACATTTATGAGGTTTCTCTCCAGTGTGAATCCTTCCATGTAGTCGAAGAGAAAAAGAGCTACTGAAGGCTTTACCACAGTCCTTACATTTATAGGGTCTCTCTCCAGAATGAGATTTTTCATGTTTTTGAAAAGAACTGGAAGATCTGAAGGCTTTACCACATTCCTCACATTTATAGAGTTTCTCTCCAGTATGACATCTTTCATGTATTTGAAGGGAACCAGAACATCTAAAGACTTTTCCACATTCCTTACATTCATTGGGATTTCCTCCAGTGTGAGTCTTTTTATGTGTTTGAAGAAAACTGGGAAAATTGAATGATTTACCATATTTTTTATATACAAAGTGTTTTTCTTCAGCATGAACTTTTTCATGTACTTGAAAGGAACTGAAACATTTAAATTGTTTATCACATTCTTTACATTTATATGGCTTCTCTCCATATTCATTACACTCATATGGTTTGCATCCAGAGTGAGATAAGGTATGCCTATCAAGGGATGAGTGACATGTAAAGACAATTCCACACACACTGCGTTCACATGGTTTTACTCTAGTAGGAATTTTCTTCAGATTAAGATTTGAAGTATGGTTAAAAATTTCTCCAGACTGAATACCTTCTTTACTTTCACAGAGTCTCTCCACCACATAAGTTCTGTCAAAAACAACAAGCACATTATTAGTGGTTGGATTATTAATACTTTTTCTATTTATTAATAGGTCTTCAACTTACATTGCTACTTATTTACAGGCCTTCAACTTACATTGTCTAAATTGTCTGCAAGTAAATGGATTGACTACTCTGCAACATGCCTTTCACACAGACATTACCAAAACAGTGACATTCATATATGCAGTTTCTCAGCAATGTTTCCAAGTGAACTCTTTTGCAAGCACTGAACATCCATGCTACATTAAAGTATATACTCATATTCGTGGTAAAAACTTTCTAAAAATAAATAAAGTTGTGATTATTTGTTTTATTTGTTTTTAAACCATTATGGAGGTTCTGCAAAAAACTGAAAACAGAAATACCATATGATCCAGATATCCCACTACTGTGTATATATTGAAAAAAAAGAAAAGTGATATGTTAAAGAGATTTCTGCACTTCCATGTTTATTGCAGCACTATTCACAGTAGCCAAGATATGAAATCAATCTAAATATCCATCACTGGATAAACGGATAAAGAAAATATGGTATACATACATCTGTGAAATATTATTCAGCCATAAAATAAATAAAAACATGTCATTGGAGACAATATGAGTAAGCTTAGAAGACATTATGTTAAGTGAAATAAGCCAAGCACAGAAAGACAGATATTGCATGTTCTGTCTCATATGTGGGAGCTATAAAAGATGATCCCATAAAAGTAGGAAAAGAATAGTGTTTACCAGAGGCTAAGAAAAAGAGATGATAGAAGTTGGTTAACAAGTACAAAATTATAGTTAGGTAGAAGCAATAAGTTCTAATGTTCTATAATACAGTGAGATGACAATAGTTAATAATTTATTATATATTTCAAAATAGCTAGAAGAGAGAATTTTGAATGTTCTCGACACAAAAAATAATGAATGTTTGAGGTGATGGATATGCCAGTTACCTTGATTTGATCATTACACATTGTGTACCTGTATCAAAATACCAGAGGTACCTCATAAATGTGTACAGTTATTACGTGAATGAAAAATTTTAAATATAAAATTAAATATTATAACATTCTAAGTAGGATTTCCTCAAGAAGCATTGGTTCCTCTTGAGAATGCAAATTACCTTAGATTTATCTCAGGAATTTTGTACTCATCTTCAATGCTCTGGACTTCCCATTTGTTTCCTAAAACACAAACCCCCAAAAACATTATGAATTGTTAGAAATTATTTTAAAAATTACTAGATTCTAGGTTTCCTGTACACTGTGACCATGGCTGATTTAATCACCAAAATATTCACTTTCCACATCCCGAATCATGGAACAGCATTGACAACCAAGAAACACTTGCTCTCTAATTCACTAAATAAAGAAATGTTGTCATTCTTACCTATAGAAGACAGGTTCTTGAAGGTTTCCCACATCACATCTCTGTAGAGGTTCTTCTGGAAATGATCCAGCAAAGCCCACTCTTCATGGGTGAAGTTCACAGCCACATCCTCGAAGGATACTGAGTCCTAAAACATCCCACATATGTGTAGAGGAAGATGGGTGAGAATGACAGCATTGGAAATCAGTGCTCAATTAAGACATTCTTAATTAATTAAATTCTTAAGACATGATTCTGTGGTCTCCAAACATTTGGTTTTGGAGTCACATTCTTACTCTCTACCAGCACTCACTACCAAATGGCAGTTTTGATGCTAAAATTAAACTATTCGGAAAGGAAACAGCAGAGTAGAAATACCCGCTCAGTGGTGGGTCCATCTAGGGGGTAAGATGTGCTGCTGGGTCACCCCTGATTTCTTAGTGTAGAATGGATCTCCACTACCTGTTAAGGTCTTATTGTCTGGTGTGCATGACAGACTTAATATCAACAGTGCTGAGACCACTTATCCTTTGAGATGCCTGCTCACAAAGGTCAACCTTGGCTGATATCATCAGACAACTTAGATTTTGGGAGGGGTTCCACCAACCTAGGTGATAAGAGTGGCTCACTGTGCCTACATGGTTTCTGCAACAACATGGTATTTGCTGAACTCCTGTTTACTTTCTGAAAGTCTATTATTTTGTTTCACCCACTACCTATTAAGGTCTTATTGTCTGGTGTGCATGACAGACTTAATATCAACAGTCCTGAGACCACTTATCCTTTGAGATGCCTGCTCACAAAGGTCAACCTTGGCTGATATCATCAGACAACTTAGATTTTGGGGGGGGTTCCACCAACCTAGGTGATAAGAGTGGCTCACTGTGCCTACATGGTTTATGCAACAACATGGTATTTGCTGAACTCCTGTTTACTTTCTGAAAGTCTATTATTTTGTTTCAGTCTTATAGCAGTGTCTAGAGGATCAGTTCCCTAAAAAAACTTTGAGCACTGAGTTTCTAATGAACGTCCTTGGCAGACAATATTTTATAGAACAATTTAAAAAATTCTATTAGGTAATGTCAAAGCAGAATGGAATAATTTGAAATATAACACATATTATTAGAAAAAACTCAGTGTTACCAAAATGTCAGCTGTTCCAAATTACATTATTATAAAATTTTATAAATCTCCAAAAGTCACTTTTTAGCAGTCAACAAAATCTATTTTTCCAAATCTAATAGTCATAACAAATGTCTAACAATTGTCAAAGTCCTCTGAATAACAGGGTGATGATGGCTTCCCTGATATACAATTAGAATTTTCAAACTAGAATATTTAGGGCATCATACCAGTAGCAGAGAGATAAATAAATAGACCAAAGGAAAGAAATATAAAAATCATCAATGGGTCAGCATTTATACGAAAATGTGATGAATAATAGTGCAGACACTGTAAAGTAGTGGGGAAAAAATCACAAGTACTTTAAAACATGGGGCAAGGCAAGATGAAATCTAACTGGAAAAGTACATTGCATTCCCATGAACAATAATCTATTTACTGTAGATACAAATGTAAAAGATAAAACTAGAACACATTTGGAAGTCACAAGCAAATGTTTGTTGGTTTGTTTGCTTGCTTGCTTTTTTGGTTTGATGAAATAATAGGTAAAAACTTTTTATATAGAAAAGTAATCAATAAAATATAAATATATTAAGTAAAATATATTAAAATTGAGAAAATTAAGGACAAAAACAGAGTGAAAGAAAAATCTTCAGTGAATGCACTATATAAGAATTAGTGTGCAGAGCAAAAATGAACACATAATTTAAAAAAAATTTTTTTAATTTCACAAAAGATAAAAGTCCATACATAAAAAAGGTTCATCTCCTTAGTAATAAGAAAAAAGCAAATAAATGTGAAGTAGATGACATCTGATATTGATTAGAAGGACAAAAACTAGTCAGTTAGAGAATCCCAAGTAGTGAGGACAGCAGTGAACATAAAGTCATGCATGAATGAAGGAGGAATCAATTGATATACTCTACTGCTATTTTCTGTAATTTGAACTTCACCACAGTCTACAGCCCAGTAAATTTTCTCTAATATTCAGAGAATTTATTGTGCATTTGCACTTGGACACTGATGTAAGATGATAGGAGCAGTATTTTTTCCAAGAACAAAAAATAAACTTGAAAAAGCCCAAACACCATAACAAATGAAAGAGATGAGTGAATTGAATGGTCCACAGCCTCTGACACTAGCATGCGTGAGGCATACTGAGGCAAGAAAACCACCAATATCCCTTTTCATTTTAATGCCATCAATACCTATTTATTGAAAGTTCAAAGGAGGCTAAATTAGAAGAACACAGGGTAGTGAAAAATAACAGATGGTAAAGATATGAAAAATAGTTACAAAATCAGGACAGTGGTCATCAAAGAGGCAAGACAAAGATGAGTCTGGGAGACTTAGGAAAGTCTAATTGACCGCTCAAGACCCAATGAATCTTGATGATGATTCCAAGGATGTTTTTGTTATTATTACTATAACATAACAAATATTTTATTCATTCTTTTGTGACTATACTTCATGATAAAATTTTTTAAAGTTAATTAGGTTTGAAAAAGAATACAATTTGTGAATGTTTGTCTGCCC